TTCCTGGGCATGATTTTGAATGCCCGGAGCCAACTGTAGGCCACTTCGTGTTCTTCTAGTTCCCAGAACTCCATTCCTGGGCCACATTTTGAATGCTGAGGCAGGCTGATGCTGCGGCCGAGGCAGGCTGAGGCTGAGGCAGGCTGAGGCTGAGGCCGAGGCTGAAGGCAGACTGAGGCTGAGGCTGAAGCAGACTGAGGCTGAGGCTGAGGCAGGCTGAGGCTGAGGCTGAGGCAGGCTGATGCTGAGGCAGGCTGAGGCTGAGGCTGAGGCTGATGCAGGCTGAGGCTGAGGCAGGCTGAGGCTGAGGCCGAGGCTGAAGGCAGACTGAGGCTGAGGCTGAAGCAGGCTGAGGCTGAGGCTGAGGCAGGCTGAGGCTGAGGCAGGCTGAGGCTGAGGCTGAGGCAGGCTGAGGCTGAGGCTGTGACTGCGACTGCCGTTGCCGCTGCGACTGTCATCGCGAATGCGACTACGACTGCGAGAACAGCAGAATTCTACAACTGGATTTTCATCTGAATCTTAAGGGGAATGCTTTCAGATATGCTTCTACATTTCGCTGTTAGGTTGCTTTGCCGGGATAATAGATTTGTTGGGCGGCCAAGATCCTTTCATTTCTAATTGTTCTATCCTGGGCCTAGGGGGCCAGGAACAATTAGAAACGAGCACAATCAGAAATGAGCACGATTAGAAATGAACGAGGTGTACGTCAACAACGGCATCAAATACTCTATCGGAGGTTCACTCGGATTTCTTGGATCGCCGTTGGGCCCTCTGGCGCGATCCGCGCGCCACCAGTGCCGATCCAACAAGTCCGCGCGAAATTCAGGTACATCATGATTCTGCATGTGGTTGTTTCTCGAGACGGGCCCCATGCCGCTCCACGCCTCCAGCCTCTCCCCTACCTCCGCGCTCTCCCCGCGGGAATCCCCCCTGCCCAGTGCATTCCGCCCAGGTCAGGGGCGGCGGAAACTTACGAGAGCTTGCCTCCGGCAAGTCAGGTCTCGCAATCGGCGAGCAGGTTTCTGCCCTTCGCTCCTGGGGCAGGCAGTCGTCGGCCGAACACATCCCGAGCACATCCTCCCCCGTTCTCGTCCGCCTTCGTCTTCTCATCGCCGTCGTCGTTCGCTTAGGAGGACGTCCTCCTCTGAGATGGGGCCCATCTCCCTCCTCCTCCTCCTCCTCCTCCTCCCATCGAGAGCTGAGATCTGAGAACTGACGTTGATAGGGCCGTACTGCCGTAGACCCCCCCCCCCCCGGGGGCGATTCCCCCGGGGAGGGGGAGGGTGATCAAATCAGGTAATCTGTAGAGTACAACGGGTGAGGGCGGCCGACAGACCCCCCCCAGGGCATTCTGCGTTCTGAGGTGGGGGGGGTTGGAGGGGGGGGGAGGTAGTAGAGTTAAGTCGGGCATGTCCCTCTACAGGAGGGCTATTTCAGAACAGTAGAAGGATAGTCAGTGGACGATGTTTCGTGCTCTTTTGATTTGTGTTTGAATGTGTTCTGACTTCCGGTTCTTGGAAAACTAGTTTCTTCCAACATCCGCCTGCAGGAGGACATGCCCGACCTGATAGTGGGGGGACGCAGATCAGGACCCTCGGACGGGGTGAGGGCGGAGCGGGGGGGGGGTGACGCGTGGGCGGCAACGGCGACTGGGGATGTTTTGATGCTACTCCCGGGAGATCAAATTCTGATTTTGCCCTGGTCCGAAATCCGGCGTCATCCCGCTTCATCCCGCTCAGTCCGGCTTGACCCCGCTTGATACCGCTCCATCCGGCTCGGTCCCGCCCCATCCGAGGCCCACTCCGGCGTGACAGCGCCCCGATGGGGGGTCAATCCTCCCTGCTCCTTCCGACGAGGACCTCCCAGCTCAGAGCGTGAATTACTTACCCCGCTTTCGCTTCCAGGCAAAACCAAGTCGTACCACGCGCCTCCTCATCGAGCGGCCTGACCAGTACAGGCCGTAGTTTGGCCTCGCTTGGTATCTCTTGGAAGCGAGGGTGGTCAAAAGCGAGGTAGGTTTGTTTGCCCCCTCCCAGCAGTTGCCTCCTACAAGGGAGGGGCTGTTGCAGCACGCTGGGCGCGGGGGCTGCGGCCGCTCCCGCCCCCCGAGCGGGACGGCGCAGCGGCCTCCCCCACAGGCCGGACTCCAGAGGCCGGGCCCCGAGTCCGACCCGTGGGGCCCTCGCCCGCCGAGGCGGGCGAGGCGCTCCCGGGGAGGGGCCGACGGCCAGGCAGGGGGGCTTTTCCCCGGGCGTCGGGAGGTGCGTGCGCCATCTGCTTCCTCCTCCGCCTGCCCCTCCCCCACCTCCTCCTCCACCTCCTCCTCCTCCAACTCCAACTCCAACTCCAACTCCGACTCCTCCTCCTCCTCCGCCTCCTCCTCCAAGTCCTCCTCCTCCTCCTCCTCCTCCTTCTCCTCCTCCTCCTCCTCCTCCTTCTCCTCCTCCTCCTCCTCCTCCTCCCTCTCCTCCTCCTCCTCTCCTCCTCCTCCTCCTCCTCCTCGTCCTCCTCCCTCTCCTCCTCCTCCTCCTCCTCCTCCTCCTCCTCCTCCTCCTCCTCCTCCTCCTCCTCCTCCTCGTCATCATTCTCCTTCTCCTCGTCATCGTCATCGTCATCTTCATCACCATCGTCGTCGCTTCCTCCTCCTTTTCTCCCAGGGCAGCAAACTGCCGGCCGAACACATCCCGAGCACCCTTCGGTCCTACCAGACGGCGGGAAGGCCCGCGGAAGAGGTGGGCGCCTGCTGTGAAGGCTTACCGGGGCCCGCGGAAGAGGTGGGCGCCTGCTGTGAAGGCTTACCGGGGCGACGAGGAGCGAATCTGCCACCTGCCAGCTCCGAGGCGCCGTCGCGCCGTCCACACACTGGGCTGGCCCCGGGGCCGCGGCCGGGCGGGGCAGGGACGAGGACGCATCCGTGCCAGAGCGTTGCGCTCTGAGAAGGCCGCGGCGCCCGAGGCATGCTCCAGGAGCCGCCGGATCTCAGGTATTCTCGATCTATATATATATATAGATATATGTATATATATTTGTCACTCGAAGTTGTCCTCGTCCTGGCTTTCTTACGCAGCGGCGTGTCTCTCTCACCGCCCACCAGGCCACCTCAACCCAACCCAGAGGCCCAGATTTGCGCTCCACTTCAGTTGTGGGGGTGGGGTCGGGGAACATGGAAACAAAAACACATCTGAAGCCCGTAACCCCCCCGCCAACCCGAAATTGGGGCCTCGGGGTTAGGTTGGGGTGGTCTGGTAGGTAGTCACTCTCCCTCTCGCTTGAAGGTCCCTACGCACCAGCCGTCACGCTTAGGCTGCGAGTCGCCGGCGACGTGGTCCCCCCTCTGTGCCCTGATTGGTTTGTGATTGAAGCCACGTGCGTCATGGCGCCAACATCGCAGAGCGGATGTCGTTCGGAAAACGATAGCGTGGGCCCCAGAGCGTGTTGGAGAGTTGCGTTCCGGATTTCGAAGTGAATTTCGTGCGGCTTTTTTGCCAGGGATGAAGATCAACAACACCCACGTGAAATTCACTTCGCTTGTCGCTCGCCGCTTCGGGTAAAAACAAATCCACGCAGAAATCCGCTGCAGCACGTCTGCAAGGCTGGTGCAATGGCGTGTGTGATTCGCGACATGCCCCCGCAGGCTCCTTCTTTCTCCCGCCCGCGGGGCCGCGGCCGACTCGACTGCCGCACGACCTGCCCCCCAACAAAAACAGGCCCGGCGCCGAGGGCGGGCCCCGCTTCCCGTCTTGAGGAGGAGGAGGAGGAGAAGGAGGAGGAGTAGGAGGAGGAGGATATGGAGATGGAGAGGGAGTCGCAGGAGGAGGAGGAGGAGGAGCAGGAGTAGGACTTGGGGTTCCAACTCCCATCAACTTTTTTTGTAGGCATGCTCAGTAGGGTGACACCCGCACCGCCATTCAGACGTCGAGGACGAGGAACAGCAAATCAATTAAACGTATGACGAGGGGAATGAGGAGGAATATGGTGACGACGACAACGGTTACGGTGATGTTGATGGTGATGATGATGATGATGATGATGATGATGATGATGGTGATGAAGATGGTGATGGTGATGGTGATGGTGATGGTGATGGTGATGGTGATGGTGATGGTGATGCTGATGACGACGATGAAGACCACGATGTTGATGAGCGGGATGATGTTGGAGACGGCGATGAAGCTGATGATGCTGATGCTGTTGTTGGTGGTGATGGCGACTGATGCGATGCTGATGATGACTACGGTGATAATGCTCGTGATGTTAGTCGTGATGCAACAGATGATGATTATGATGATGATGATGATGATGATCATGATCATGATGCGGATGATGATGATGATACTGATGATGATGATGATGATGATGATGCTGCTGCTGATGATGATGGCAATTATCCGGGTCATGATTATGATGGTGATGATGGTAGTGATGATGATGATGTTGATGAATATTGTGATGAGGATGCTGATGGTGTTGATGCTGATGCTGCTGATGATGATGATGCTGATGATGATGATGATGATGATGCTGATGATGATGATGATGATGATGATGAGGAGGAGGAGGAGGAGGAGGAGGATGATGATGATGCGGTTGATGCTGGTGGTGGTGGTGTTGATTACTATGGGGGTTATGGTGTTGATGGTGATGATGGCCGCTGCTGCCTGCTGCCGGTGGTGGTGACGTTGATGGATGCTGATTGTTATTTTTGGTTGTGGTGGCGACCCGGAGAGGCGAAGGCTTCGATCAGCATCGGCGCGGCGCATTGCTCTTTAAAACAGCATCCATCCTCTCCCCCCTCCCTGAACTCCATGGGGGGCCTCCTGGGCTCCTTGAAGCTCCCAAGGGCCTCCTCGGGCTTCCTGGGGTCCCCCTGGGAGACTCCTGCGGCTGCCTGGCGCCCGCTGGGGCCTCCTGGGCTCTCCCTGTGAGTTCCCTGGGGCCCCCAGTGGCCCCCCTGGGGCTCATGGGGACCCCCCCCCCCCCGGCGCCAGGAGCACTGGCAGATGGTGTGGGCGTCGACCGCCCAGGCTTGCCGCGCGCCTCAGCACGCGGGCGGCCCCGCGCTTTCGCCGCCAGGCCGTGGCCCTCCACGGGGGGGGGGATGGGAGGGAGGGCGCGGCGCGGCGGAGGGCGGCGGAGGCCAGGGGGGGAGGGAGCGCGCAGAGGATGCAGGGGGGGGGAGAGGTGGAGGAAGATGGAGAAGGACGGGGGGCGGAGGCGGAAGAGGGGGAGGAGGATGGATGGGGGGGAGTCGGGGGAGCGTGGGGAGGATGGAGGAGGATGAGGATGGTGACGAAGGGTGATGGGGCTGATGGCGCGGATGGTGTTGATTGTGATCGTCATCAGCATGATGCCGATGATGGCGATGATGATGATGATGATGATGATGATGATGATGATGATGATGATGATGATGATGATGATGATGATAAAGCTGATGATACTGATGATACTGATGATGATGATGATGATGATGATCGTGGTGGTGGTGCTGATGGTGGTGGTGGCGGTTATAATGGTACTTATGCTGATGCTGATGGTGATGACGTCGGTAATGATGACGTTGATGTTGGTAATATTGATGATGATGTTGAGGAAGCTGCTGATTGTGGTGCTGGCGATGATGCTGATTACGATGATGATGATGGTGGTGCTGCTGATGCTGATGGTGCTTGTGACGATGTTGATTATGATGCTGATGATGATGGTGATGTTGATGATGATGACCATGCTGATGATGCCGATGATGTTGACGATTACGATGATGATCATGATTATCATTTTATCATGACGATGATGCTACTGATAAAGATGATGAGGATGATGCTGTTCATTATTCCGATGATACTGATGATGCTGATGATGTTGATGTTGATGCTGATGATGACGATTATGATGATGGTGATGATGATGATGATGATGCTGCTGATGATGATGGTGATGGTGATGATGATTATGATGATGATGATGATGATGATGATGATGATGATGATGATGATGGTGCTGGTGATGGTGATGGTGATGGTGATGGTGATGATGATGATGATGATTATTATGCTGCTGCTGATGATGATAGTGATGATGATGACGATTTTGATGACCATGACCACAAACTAAGTGGCTGATGAGGATGGTAATGCTGGTGACGAGGGTGTGATTGTGTAGGACTTACAGAGATGGGGAGAAGGACAAGGAGGATGAGGGAGGAGGGAGGGAAGGAGGATCACGTCGAGCAACAGTAGGGGGAGGATTGGGTGGTGGCTGATGAGTAGGTGGCGATGGAGGCATATGCAGAGGGCCCCTTCTGCCCCTCCTCTCGAAGCCGAACAAGAACTGCATAGCCATAAACTTTGGGAACTCTCGTGTGGGTTCTTTGGATCTGCGGTGGGCCCCCCCTGCCCCGAGCGGCGCATCCGACGCCGCCCCTGGCGCGCTCCGCGCGCGCTAGGGAGGGGGGGCCCAGCGCCGATCCAAGACATCCGCGCGGAACTCCGGCTGATCATGCTTGTGCAGTTGTTTGGTCTTCCGTCCTCGCCCGCCACCGCTTGGCGCCGTCGCCGAGCTCCATCTCCAGGTTTTGTCCGCTGGCAACGAGGCTTGTGTAGCTGCCTGGCCGTCGGCGGCGCTGCCACCGCGCTCTCTTGGACCGTCCGTCGGGAGTGCTGCGCCTCTCCTCGTGGCCGATGCTGCAACACAGGCCCCTCCCACGCCTCCCCCTCCAGGGCTCGTTCGGACTCCTCCGGTTGTGTATGTCTGAGGGGCCAGCACTAGCTCGAGGCCAGAAACGCACCACACTCGACGCCCACACACTCGCTGAACACACTCGCGCCCACACTCCATGCCGACGCTCGCACTCCATACTCGCCGCTCACACTCGCGCCCACTCTCTACGCCCACAATCTATGCACAGTCTACGCACACTCGCACCCCACACTGCACGCCTACACTCGAACCCCACATTCACACCCCACACTCTACGCCCACACCCGCACCCCGCACATACACACGCACCACACTCTACGCCCACAATCTACGCACACACTCGCACCCCACACTCACACCCCACACCAAACCCCGAGTTGATTTACCGACTTGATTAGACAAGTTAATTTCCCGAGTTGATTTACATAGTTGGTTTACCGAGTTGATATACAGGGTTGATTTGCCGACTCGATTTCCCGAGTTGCTTTGCCGAGTTGATTTCCAGGAGTTGCTTTGCCGAGTTGATTTACAGAGTTGATGTACAGAGTTGATTCACAGAGTTGATTTGCCGAGTTGATTTCCAGAGTTGATTTGCCGAGTTGGTTTACAGATTTACCGAGTTATTTACAGGAGTTGATTTGCCGAGTTGATTTACAGAGTTGATGTTTGCAGAGTTGATTTACAGAGTTGATTTACAGAGTTGATTTGCCGAGTTGTTTTCCCGAGTTGATGTGTGGAGTTGGCTTGCACGGAACGCAGAGATGGCGAGTTGAATTGGCGTTGATTCCTTGGGCTTTGACTGACCATTTCAACTGCGAAATGCGAGTTGGTTCCCCGAGTTGATTTACCGAATCCCTGAGTTGATTTACCGAATCGATAAGACGAGTTGATTTCCCGAGTTGATTTACAGAGTTGATGTACAGAGTTGATTTACAGAGTCGATTTGCCGAGACGATTTCCGGGGTTGATTTGCCGAGTTGGTTTGCAGACTTACCGAGTTATTTACAGGAGTTGATTTGCCGAGTTGATTTACAAAATTGATTTTTCAGATTGGACTTACAGAGTTGATTTGCCGAGTTGTTTTCCCGAGTTGATGTGTGGAGTTGGCTTGCACGGAACTCTGAGATGGCGAGTTGAATTGGCGTTGACTTCTTGGGCTTTGATTTACCATTCCAACTGCGAAGTACGAGTTGGTTCCCCGAGTTGATTTCCCGAGTTCGACGACCCGAAATCCTTCACATCAGTAATTTTGGGTCTCGGAGCCCACAGGGCGGTTTTTCATGTGTTCCATTCGACGTTCCATGAAGCCCGATGTCATTCCGAGGCGCGCGTCGAACGTTTTCGATGGCGCGTCGCGTTATGCGACGTCACGTGCGTTGTGGTCGTCAAAGGCTTGCGTGCTTATTGCGGATCGGTTGATGTGGGCTGGGGTTTCTCAGGATTGTACATTTGCTTTGCGCTGGGGCGGTTTCGCCCCCCATCCCTGGCTGATCCACCCCGCGGGTAACGTCGCAGGAAGAATTCGAACATTTGGTTCGTAGTGCCAGCGATGCTGTCGCGGACATTGACCGCGCCACGGGGGGGGGTCGTCCAGAAATTTCCTACCATATTGCAATGTTGGTTCTTCGTTTTGAAGATACGCCGCCCCGCGTCATTCCTTCCGGCCCCCTCCCTCGTCCTCCCTCTTCGCGTATCTGCCCCTGCTCTCCGCATGTCCCCGTCGTCATCGTCCATCGTCATCGTCGCCATCACCATCATCATCAGCATCATCAGCATTCTCGTCGTCTCCATCATCAATACCACCACCATCCTCATCAACATCATCAAAACACCCCCCTTGTTCCCCCGCGTCTCTGCTTCGCCACATCCCCCGCAAGTCTCGTGGCCTTGTGAGGTGTTCCACCGAAGGCCCCATCGGCAGGGTCCTTAGTGCGCCGCCCAGCCCATGTCGGCACGCCCCTCAGACGCTTCGTGTCCCCATGAGGAGTTCATCGGAGGTCCCGGCGGCAAGGTCCACATGCCGTCGCCCAGGCCACATTGACACACCCTCAAACATTTCGTGCCCCCATAGGCAACTCCACCAACAAAAAGGTCCCAACGGCAGGTTTCCCAGGCCGCCGCCCAGCATATTTCGGCATACGTTTCGCACGTTCCGTGGCCCCACGGGGAGCTGCACCGACGGCCTCACAGGCAGGGCCCACAGGCCGCTGCCCAGCCCATTCCGTCATACGCTCACACGCTTCGTGGCCCCATTGGGGAGCACCCCCGATGGCCCAAGCGACAGGGTCCACATGCCGTCGCCCAGCCCATGTCGTCCACGAGTGGCGCCCAGCACGGCTCCAAAAGCGCCCCAAGAGGCGCCGAGTAAGTTGCGCCCTCATGCAAATAGTTTTTGTCACTTGTGGGGGTCCTCTTGGGGCCCTCTTGGAGCATTCTTGGGGCCCTCTGGGAGCGTTCTTGGGGCCTTCCCGGGGCCCCAGTGGGCCCCCGGAGGGCCCCGAAAACGTTCCCCGAGGGCCCCAAGAGGGACCCCCCAAAGTGGTACAAAAAATTCGCGCGAACGTGCAATCTGTTGTAGGCCTTTCGGGGCCCTCTGGGAGCTCTCTTGGGGCCCCCATTGGTGGCGCCTTGGGGCCTTGGGATGGCTCCAAGAGGCTTCGGGATTGCCCCAGACCGCCACAAGACAGCTCCGAGACGGCCGTCGAGCACCACGGGTGAAAGCAAGTGAGGCTAGGGAACAGGGCCTCTGGTAAGCCGCCACTGCGCCCCCTGGACTACCCAGACAGCGAGGGGACCTGAAACGCCCTGGGGCTCCAGGGGCCCCAGATTAGTGAAGTGAAGGTTTTTGCCATGCAAGCACCCCGAAATTCTTCACTTCACTAAACCGGACCCAGGACGAACTCGCTACGCTCCAGTCCCGCGGGAGATCCGAGACTCCCGCCGCCGCCCGGGGACGCTGCTGCATTGCGGTGCTCTGGTCACTGTTAATGGCTTCCGCGGGCTGCAGCGGCTCACTTCCATGACTACCCCGACTCACGAATCCAGTGGTTGGTCTGGCTCTATGGGTTGGTTTCGTTGTGTCGGTTGATTTTATGCTTGGTTGGCGGTCGGTGGATTTCGCGTTGTTCATTGGTGTCGTGAAGTGATTTGTCGTTTGGTTGGTCAGTGCCGTTTTGTTGATTCGTGCCGTTTTGTTGGTTGGTGTCGTTTCGTTGGTTGGTGTCGTTTTGTTGCTTGGTGTCGTTTTGTTGCTTGGTGTCCTTTTGTTGGTCGGTGTCGATTTGTTGGTTTGTTGGTTGGTGTCGTTTTGTTGGTTGGTGTCGTTTTGTTGCTTGGCGTCGTCCTGGCGGCGTGGCCGATAATCGGCGGCCTGCAATGGCGCCAGGATTTGTTTCGGGCCAGCCTTGATCGCCCTCATCATTCTCATATTCGTCAGCGTCAGCACTCGTCGCCCCCATCCGCGCACACATGCGGCCCTGGTACGGCTCTCACGCGGCCCTGCGAAGGCCTTCACTGTGCTCCCCAAAGCTTTCTGAGGGGCCCCCCAGAGGCCCCAAGAGGGCACTGCAAATTGTCGCTTCCAACTCCGCCAGGCGGAGGTCAACAAGGGTCTCACTGGTGCACTTCCAGGAATCGTTGTTCGATCCTCTTGGGGCCCTCCTGGGGCCTTCTGGAGCCGTCTTGGAAGCTCCGAGCGGCTCCATGAAGGCGCCGGTCGATATCGCTTCCAATTCCGCCAGGTGGAGTTAGACCAGGGGCTCACTGAGGCCCCTTTTTGCGCCCTCCTCTGCTTTTGAAAAAGCCCGATGGGGTTCTTCAGTGCCGTCTTAGGGCCCCTAAGAGGCCTCCAGTAGGGTATTGAAGTTATCGCTTCCAACTCCGCCACGCGGAGTTGAACCCAGGGCGGCTCTCTGTGGCCCTTTCGGGGCCTTCTTAGAGCTTTTCTGAGGCCCTAAGTGGGCCCTGGGAGGTGTCATTTTCACGGGAGTTGAAAGTGACACCGCGGAGGGCCCTCTTGGGCCCTTCTTGGGGCCTCTCTTGGGTCCCTCTGGGGACCCTCTTGGTGCCGCCCTGGGGCCTTCTCGGGGCCTTCTTGGAGCATTTCTGGTGCTCTTTAAGTGGGCCCTGGGAGGTGTCACTTTCAGGGGCGCTGAAAGTGACACCTCGAAGGGCCCGCTTTCCCTCGTAGCGCTGCCCGTGGCCGGGGCATTGTGCAGCGCATCCCTCGTCGAACGCATTTTATCGGACGCGTGGTCGAATCCCGCCAGTTCGGTCGAGATGGTGGTCAAGCGGTTCGGTTGCAATGTAGCCATGCGGATCTGAGCTTACCATTTCTTGCCATTTTGGCGGGGGCTCGCAGGAGCGTTTGTGTTTGATCAACTGTGCTCGATATATCCAGCGGCAGGGTTTCATCCCAATATATTATTTTGAAAAAGTCACCAGGGGCCAAATTGGTGATGTGAAGCAACATAGGTCTCGTACGAGTTGATTTCCCACGTTAATTTCCCGAGTTGGTTTGCCGAGTTGATTTCCCGAGGTGATTTGCCGAGTTGATTTATAGAATTGATTTAGAGAGCTGGTTTAGAGAGTTGATTTTGCGTGTCGGCCTGCCGAGTTGAGTTCGCAAGTTGATGTGCCAAGTTGATGTGCCGCCTTGGTTTCGCGATTGGAGGTGCCGAATGGATTTCGCGAGTTGGCTATCCGAGCTGATTCCTCGAGTGCGAAGTGCGAATTGACCGTGGTGTTGGCGTCCCCGACTTAGTGCGCCGAGTTGACCCGCGTCTCGCGTTCGTGTCGTGTGGGCGCAAAGCGTGGGGGGTGAGTGTGGGCGCGAGTGCGGGGTGCGAGTATGAAGTGCGAGTGTGGGCTCACAGTGCGGGGGGCGATTGCGGGGGCGAGTGCGGGGTGCGAGTGCGAAGTGCGAGTATGCAGTGCGAGTTTGGTCGCAGAGTGTGAGGGGCGGCCGTGCGCCCCGAAATGGCTGCTAGCTAGCGAGGCACGACCGATGCCTCACAGACATACATAATCCTCCTGCTCGGTTCGATTCGCGATCGATCGATTCCGATTCCGATTCGATTCGACCTCGGATTCCGATTTGGTTTTCGGTTTCTCAGTGTAGGCCTTACTAGCCTGCCGATCTCCACTGGTTCGACTTCTCCCGACTTGGCTGCTGATCTCCACCGATCCGATTAATGTCGATCGCCGATCCGACTTATCGATTCGATTCTGGGCTCTCCTGCCCCTCCGGGTCCCCTTCGGTGCGTTTGCCTTGGACGCCAAATTTGGGGACCCCGAGGTTTCTCTTGACTGGCAACCTGCTGATGGCCTATTCGTGCCTTTGTGCGCGTAGGGGCATCTCAGTTCATGACGTCGTGGAGGCACGCTGCGGTGCCCACAGCGAGCACTGTCGCCACGCCGTGGCGAAGATGTGGACTGTCTGACTGCCCTGCGGAGGCCACTATTCTTTTGATCCTTGATACATACCCCTCTTATGACATCCGACAGCGGGAACAAAATTCAGCAACGCAACAAAGCAACTCGACTGGAGCCCTTGATCCCATCTTCCTGGATCGATCCGTGAGGGTCGCTGGGCCCAGAGCAGTGCAAAACCGCTCGTTGTGAGCAGAAATGCGACGCCAGGATCCCAGGGTCCTCCTCCTCGTCGTCAGCCTCGTGTGTATCTCTTCTTCTCTTCGGGCGGAGGAGGACGACGAGCCGCTTATGCCTCCCATCGGCGCCTGAAGCCAGAGCGATGCTTCTGATGATTTTTTTCGATCAGTTGCACCTTCCTCCGTTGCAGCTGCGTTGGCCTGACATTATTGGAGGCGTTTGGCGTGGAGCTCAAAAAGAAGCAGCCTTCTTTTGCTGACTCCAAACGGCAACAGCAACAGCTCGCGACGTGGTCAGCCTGCCGCCAGCCTCACGTAGGGAGCAGGAGTGTCCTGACTGTCCTTTGGGTGCCTGGACACAGGCTTTCCATACCCCCCGACGTCATGATTTTTTCATGACGTCGACCCCCAGCGGTCTGGACCCATTCCCCGGGACCGGTTTTCCATCTTGAGCCGTTTGACGGTCCCGAGGCCCAGCGGGGGCCCCCAGAGGCCGAGAACAGCGAAACGCCTCCCGTCGTGTTTTGTGGCTCGAGGGGTCTGGCTTCGGCGCAGGGACAGAAGACAAAAAAGAAGCAGCCTTTTCGTTTTGCCCCCGAGAGAAGTCAAGGGAGGAAAAACCACCCGGACCCGACAATTGGCGTTTACTAAACGGCCCTGAGCGTTTACTAAACAGCCCTGCCCTGTTCGATTCCTTCTTTGGGCGCGTTTACTAAAGGCCTCGCGTATCGGGGTGGTTATTATCGGGGTGGATTTTTTGCCCCCGAGAGAAGGTCGCACCCCGGGCGCCTCCGGCGCCGCCGCGGTCCCCCGGGACGCGGGCGTCGCGTCGTGCGGCGACGACGGGGGTCACCGCGCGTGCAGTCCGCGGCGCCGCCTCGCGGAGGAGGACCCCGCTGGGCCAAGAGCTGAAGAAGTCGTCGTCTTCGTCTTCGTCGTCGTCGTCGTCGTCGTCGTCCTCAGCGTGGTGCTCGTGTTCGTCGTCGTCGTCGTCTTCGTCGCCGTCCTCGTGCTCGTCGTGGTGCTCGTCGTCGTCGCGGGGATCGCTGGCCACCCGCCGGGTCCGCCGTCCTCGATCGATCGCGGCGGGTCGGGGCCGCCCGGCCGCCGCAAGCGTTGGGCCCAGGCCCTTCAGCATCGTGGCACATACGGTCAGGAATGTTCGCTTCACGTGCTGCGCCGCCAGTTTGGGCCCATCAAGCTGCGGCGCGACGCTCGAACCACGCTTACACGTAAGAGCGACCCTTCGCCGGGGCGGCCTTTGGTGTCGTGCGGGCTCTGCGGGGCCCCCCGGATCGCGGAAGGCGAAGCGGCAGCAGCGGCCACCCCGCGGCCCCCGTGCAGTCGCGCACCGAGGGTCCCTGTTGCCCAGGGTCACTCCTTGCGTGTGGCCGACGACCACGTCCCGGTCCCCAAGCGTGGACTTCCCGAGCTCTTTCCCGCGCCTCCCGCCGCGCAGAGGGGAGCGACTCGCTGCCCGCTTTTGCAGGGCATCCGCGAAGCTGTGTTTAGTTTTGCAGCTTCTCCTTCCAGTTTACACTTCCAGCGGCAGGTCTTTAGTCAGGAGGGGAAAAAACACACAGACACAATGAATCGTCGATCCCCAGGAAAATATGGGCAAATATGGGAAGTGGGGGGGGAAGACAAAAAAACACAAAAAATATAGGAACAAAACTATGGGCTGCCATTTGTGTGTACTTATTTGTGTGTCCCTGGGCCCCTTCATCCAGGTTTCCGGTATATCATGTCCCCCCCCCAGATCGGACCCGGTCGGGCCAGGCAGGCCCACAGTTAATACCCGCGTGAGAGGGACGGGCATCCTTCCCAAGGGTACAGTCGGGGCGTTGACCTAAGGAACCCTAAATTAGGAACGAGGACCCTTTTTTCACACATTGAACTTCGACTTCCCTTCGAAAATCAGCGGAAAAACAAAGGCGAACTGTAAAACAACTAAGGAACACTGAGCCCCTCCCAGACGAAGAGGGTTCCTTCTTCAGCGCCCCGACTGTACCCTCGCATCCTTGCCTCCTCGATCCATCCTTGGCCACTTTCGTTGGCCGCGCCCCCCGCGGGTCCCGCCGGAATCCACATCGAGGGAGGCGCCAGGCATCTTCGGAGGCCCCGAAGCACCGGCATCTCTGAGATCGGCACTGATTCGGGGGGCGGGGGGGATGAGATGATCAGAAGTCTTCTCGAACCTGTGAGCGTTCGGGTATTGTGTCCATCTACCGGCCCCCCTGGCGGTGTCGCTGTCGCGGGGGTGCGCCGCCGATCTGCCGGCCAAGTTTTTTTTCGTTTAAAAATGTTATGTATAATTACAGTTATGGATCACTCTTGTTCGGAGCTTTTTGCCACACTGGTGTTTTATTATTATAAGTCTTATGATCATTAGTATTATTATTATCATATCCGTAAGGGCTTCGCCCCCTGCCGCCGGCCCCCTCTCTCGGAGAATGGGCCATGGAAGAGCTAAGTCATGAGGCCTTGGCGCTGTCGTGAAGCAGTATCGAAACTTCATGCGAAGCCGATTCGCAATCAGCAAAACCAACTGATCACAAGAGGGGTTACCACACCTGGCGATTGGTAAGACGTGTATGGTTTACGGGCTTGGTTACCACACCTTGCGATTAAAGGGCCGAGGGAGTTCTCGCAGTTTGGGTTACCACGCCTTGCGATGGATGTGCGTGAAGGGTGGCACCGAATTTCAGAAATGTGGCAAATCCCCTGTGTTTTTGGACCCTGACCCCGCGGATCTGCGTGAGGGGTGGCACCGAATTTCAGAAATGTGGCAAATCCCTTGTGTTTTTGGACCCTGACCCCGCGGATCTGCGTGAGGGGTGGCACCGAATTTCAGAAATGTGGCAAATCCCTTGTGTTTTTGGACCCTGACCCCGCGGATCTGCGTGAGGGGTGGCACCGAATTTCAGAAATGTGGCAAATCCCCTGTGTTTTTGGACCCTGACCCCGCGGATCTGCGTGAGGGGTGGCACCGAATTTCAGAAATGTGGCAAATCCCTTGTGTTTTTGGACCCTGACCCCGCGGATCTGCGTGAGGGGTGGCACCGAATTTCAGAAATGTGGCAAATCCCTTGTGTTTTTGGACCCTGACCCCGCGGATCTGCGTGAGGGGTGGCACCGAATTTCAGAAATGTGGCAAATCCCTGTGTTTTTGGACCCTGACCCCGCGGATCTGCGTGAGGGGTGTCGATTTCGAGCCCCCCCAGCAATTCAGACAACGCGCCCAGGAGACGCTAAAAATCTTTTGGGCCTCCCCCCCCCTCGCGCGGTCAATCAACTAGTTACAGTAACCAGCAAGAAGCAGAACTGTAACACTGGAAACTACAAGCTACAACTGGTACAGGAAACTGCGAACCCGCGCCTACAGCCTGGTGGCCCCACAAGGGGGCCGGCGGATTCATATGGAAAAACGAACTCGTTGTTGTATCACAGTTGTTTTTTTTGTCACACTCGTTTTTCTCACCGTTTTGTATCACGCTTGTTTTTTTGAGCACACCTGTTCGGAGTACCGCCGCTCCCGTGCCCCGGGCCCTTCCCGCGAGCCGGCTCGCCAGCTTTCGGCTCCCCCCCCCTCCCCTCCAGCAGGCCTCTCCGGAGGCCGAGTGCGGGGAGGAGCGCTTGCCGTATACAGCGGTCTGCGCTTCTTCCATCTCCCGGACCTGGCGGCGCCTCAAATCCCTTATGAAGGGACCCCCCCCCCTAAAAAACCGGACCCCCCTCCAAATGCGACCTCACATTCCTGACCCCCTTCTTCGACGGGGCGCCTTATGATACACGGGAAGCTCCAATCCAAGGAAAAGCGCACTAGTATAAACCAGACCCCCCTGGTTGCAAAAAAGGCGCCTTAAAAAACCGGACCCGGGGGACGATCAATAAGGGATTTGGAGTCGAGGTTGTCTCTGCCCGACCTTGGAGGTCTCGCGTTTCTTGCCCAACGTCGCCCCTGGAGGTCTCGACCCACTCCCTGGGACCCGCTCATCGTGCCGAGTCAGTCTTTTGATGGCCCCCGGGGCCCGGCGAGGGCCCCCGGAGGCCGAAGACGGCGCAAAGCGCCTCGCCGTCATGTTGCGCGGCGCGAGGGGCTCTTCTGGGAAAGCAGGAGAGAGTCGGCGATTCTGGCGTGTCGCGCTGGCGGCTCTGGCCCACCGCGCTCTGCAGCGCCAGATGCCGAGAAGGCGCCCGCGCCCCGAGCGGAGCGGCACCTCTGTTTCTGCCCGCAGGGCAGGGCGGCCCAGGCTGCGGCTTCGCGCCCGGCCTTGCCCTGCTTGCCTCCCTGCCCCTCCTCCTCCTCCTCCTCCTCCTCCTCCTCCTCCTCTTCTCCTCCTCCTCCTCCTCCTCATCTTTCCTCCTCCTCCTCCTTCTCCTCCTCCTCCTCCTCCTCCTCCTCCTCCACCTCCTCCTCCTCCTCCTCCTCCGCCTCCGCCTCCTCCGCGCCCTCCGCGCCCCCGTCGTCGTGCCACGGGGGCGTCCTGCGCGCCTGCAGGAGGAGGTATCGCCAGGGCCGCCGCCGCGGCACGCGGAGCAGGCAGGCGATTGTGCTTCGTGGGTGCCGCACACGCCGCTGGGGTTGCCCAGTGGGACAGGGAGGTGAGAAGCGAATGCCAGGGTGAGCGCTATCTGGCTAAGGTGGTCGCATGTTCCACAGGCAGTTCAGCTCAGGAGGATAGATCACTGCGCTAAGTGGGTGGAGCCCACTTCGCCTGGACTGCCAACACCTTTAACCACTCAGGGCACCTGCGACCCACTCGTAAGCTAGGCAAGGCCAACTGTAACCCACCTTAGCTTCTGCTTCTGAGCCCCCTACAGTCAACCCGCATCGTAAGGGCATCGTAAGGATGGGCAAAACTTCCCAGGGGTGCCCCTTGCCTCCTCGGTCAATCCCTGGCCACTTTCGTTAACAAGCTCCGGGGCGGCCCTCCATGGCCCTTGCATGCTTCTCCCGCGTCCCGATGATACGGGTCGACTGCAGCCCGCCTTGGCCTCCGCTCCTGGGACTCCTAAGCCCCTCGCAGCTACGTGGCGGTCACCTCAGTCAGCAGCACAGCCCCTGTCTTGCGCAGGAGAACCAGCGCCTCCGGGCGGAGCTCGCGGAGGTGCGGGCCGACCGCGACCTCTGGCGCGCGCGCGCCGAGGCGGCTGAGGGGGCGTCCCCCGCCGGGGCCGCCGGCGCGGGCTGCTCCGAGAGCCGCCTGAGGTCGGCGAGGGCCTCCTCCTCCTCCTCCTCCTCCTCCTCCTCCTCCTCCTCCTCCTCCTCCTCAGGGGCAGCGTGAGGGGGACGGGGCCCAGGCGGGGACGCCTCGATCGAGCTGTGGCGAAGCGTCCTGGGTCGAGCGGAGGCGGAGCGTCCTGGCGTGCCCATAGAGAGGCCCGCTCTCAGAGCCTTTTCTGTGGCCTGTGCGCGAGATGCTCTCAGAACCTGTCTGGCTGACGTGGTCCTGCTTTGGCTCACCGGGGTTCTGTTCTAAGGACGTCGTCTCTGATCTCAGAGCATGTCTTGTACTCTGAGAGCCTGCCTCTGCAGACCTATGGGAATGCCGGGACGGTCGGTCCTTGCTCAATTCGACCCACCACCGCCCTTTCATTGCCGACTGGGGCCCGACAGCCCACCCCGCTCATGAGCGGGCGGATCCGCTCTCGGGGGCACGTCGCCGATCCATCGGCGACGTGTCGCCGATTCCGGCTCGACGTTCCCCCCCCCTTGGGCCAATCCCCCCCAGTCGTTGCCCCTCGGGGGGGGGAGACCAGTCGAGACAGCGGCGGCTTTTTCCGGGCTCACGTATCAGAGAGGGTCAGCGCTGCGGGGGCCAGCCAAAATGAGGAGGAAGAGAAGCGGAGAAGGCCGCTCCCCACATGCTGAGATCGTCCCGGAATGCCGCTCGAGGCCCGAGCGATCGCCCAAGAAGAACCCTCTGGCTGACTTGCCTGGGAGCCACGTGGGGCCGGTACCCCTTTTCGCCCCTCGCCAACCCGGGCCCGGGAGCCATACCGAGCGGTCAGGAGCGAAAGAAGGACGTACACGCACATGAATCCACGCTGCTTTCGAGGGTACGCCTTGCGCAGATGTTCGTGTAACGCGGCCGGCCTCGCGGGTCGAGGGGCCGTGTTCATGTACATACAGGCCTCGGAACAAATTAGCGAACACATGCCACATTCATCCGTCAACGCCCCCCTTCCCCCCAAATGTTCAAAGTTGGCGGTGGGTCTGATGAGATGCGCTTCGAACGCAGTCTCCCCCGCACGTGCCAACATTGAGTTTTGGGGGGGGGGGGGGGAGTGTTCAGTAATTGTTTCCCTCTACCGTAGTTGGGCGCGCACGTCCTCTGTGGGCTCCCTATAGAGCGGCTGGCCGGGCTTCGCGGCGGGGCCCCTCGGCCTACCGGGGGGCGCACGGTGACCCGAGCCACAGTGCGCCCCCGAGCATTTCAGCAGGTACGCAGTCGAGGAAGCGCAGGCACGGAGCAGGGCGCGCGCCGACTCGGCGCTCTGGACGCCCGAAATGGGAACGGAAAGAATGGGTACAATGTCCAACAGCGGTTCCTGTTCATTTTGAACAGGATTCGCTGTCCACGCCGCCGCGGCCTGTGTCCATTCGAGACAGAAGGCCGCCTGCCCAACAGCGGCCGCTGTTGAGTTGGGACAACATTTGTTGTTGGGCATTGTACCCATTCTTTCCGTACCCATTTCGGGCGTCCAAAGGCGCGCTCCGTCGCAGGGTCAGGCGGCGCTGCCCTCATACTTCGGGGGTGCCTTCCCCGAGCCGTGGACGTGGCGCCCGCGCGCCAGATCCACGCATCCGTATAGTCCACGTCGGCGTGCGCCCGACACGTCTCCGACGATAGGGTTTGTTCAGGAGCATCTCGTTCGCTCCGCGGAAGTGCTCGTTGGCTCCTGAAGGTTCTCTCGCCCCTGGATGTGTTTCCCAGCAGCTGCGCCTCGCCGACGGCCTTCTGGGCCCGAATCGTCCCGAACGGTCGCCGGAGGCCAGAGTGATGACCTGGAGCCCTCGATCTGCGACGACCCTGAAGGCCCAGATTTCCAACCCCTGCGTTTTGCCTCGATTTCGACTTCTGGGGCCTTTCTTTGCCTCGGGGCCATCCACGTGCGGGGATCGAAGCTTTACGCTGGGAAGGGGTCGGCGCCACTGGAGCCGCGCAGTGACGACAAACGCAAATGTCGTCGGATGTACGTTTCCGTTCGTCCTCTTCGGGCCTCCTGGAGGCTTCTCGTCGCCACGGCCGCGTCCGCCCTGAGAACTGGGTCCAGATGGGTCACGGGAGGGATTCGGGGGCCGATCTCGGACGGGGCTAGGACGAGGGCACATTCGTTCCAGAGCGTTCCGGAGCGCTTCCAGAGCATTCCAGAACGCTCTGAGAAGGCCGCGGCGCCCGAGACATCCTCCAGATCCGCCGGATCTCAGAGGTTCTCGATTTGCCCACCCCCGAATTGACCCTCGTCCTGGCTTCGTCTTACGATCTTCAGCGGATTTGGGCTGGGTGGGGGAGCCGTCGTTGTCTCAGTTGGCCCTCCGACGAGGTCCGTCATGACGAGCCACGGCTCCACGACGGCGGAGCTGAGGCCGGAGCTTCGGGTCTTTGCCCCGCCTCCCGGGTGCTGCTTTGCGTCTGCGTGCTAGGATACAGCTCCTGGGAGTTTGAGTTCTGTATCGGCGCCGGTCTTTCCGCGGTCGATCACAGGCTTAATTGGGGCTTATCCCGACTAGTCCAGCCTATTCCCGCTCAGTCCGGCTGAATCAGGCTTCATCCCAGGCTGAGTCCGGCCAGTTCCGGTGCAGTGGCCTTCTAATCGGGTTTCATCGCCCTTAATCGTTCCAACGTCCCAGGAGTTGCCTCCTAATGTGTGTGTGTGTGTGTTCATGTGCGATTTCATATTTCTCGACACACGTTTGCGTTACATTTCATGAGCGTTTCGGCCTTTCCGCGTGCATCTGCCTGTGCGTTTTTTATTCTGCGCGTGACCACCCCCATACAGTCAACCGATCTTCCACGTAAGGCGGTAATTCGCCTAAGCGTGACCCGCCTGAGCACATCGCGACGGCGCTGCTTGAGAAACGTGTGCGCGCGTGCGTGCGTGATAGTGCTTAGTACCTAAGCACTATCACACACGCACGTAAGCTTACGAACCTAAGCTTAGGTGACCCGTAAGTTTCCCTGACATCCTTTTCGTAAAAACAGAGGGGCAGGTTTTTGCTAAAATTCAGCATCCAGGGGCCCTCGCCTGGCCCTTGGGCCGTCAAACATCGGCTCAGGACGAAAAGCGGGTCCCCAGGAAGGGGCTCATGCCTCTGGGGAACCACGTTGTCAACCAATCACGACTTTGGATGGTCGGGGTTGCACCAGTCGATTGGAGCTCATCGGCGCATCGGAGGAAGAGCCCGCGTGTGGGTTGAGCTCGCTGCTCTGAGGCGTCCCCCGCGACAGGTGTGCCGGCGATTGCCGCCCCATTTGCGGGTTGGAGGAAGCAGTGTGTGCAACACAGTGCGCACGCCCTGTGCCCGCTCCGAGGTGTCGGATGTTGCCAGTGGCGTCCCCGGCCCAATGTGCTCCCAAGATTTCCAGGGACAGAGCACCCCACCACGGTCGGAACGACCGAAATGGGCACGGAAAGAATGGGTACAATGCCCAACAATTGTTCCTGAACATCGTGAACAGGATTCGCTGTCGGCGTCGCCGCGGCCTGCGTACATTCGAGACAGAAGGCCGCCTGCCCAACAGCGGCCGCTGTTGAGTTGGGACAACACTTGTTGCTGGGCAGCGTGCCCATGTTTCCGGTGCCCATGTCGGGCGTCCAAGCACGGGGCCCTGAGGCCCCCCGGCGCTCCAAGGTGGCGCGTAGAGCCGGGGACACCTCGGGCCAGGGGGCCGAGCTCAGTGCAGCGCGGCCGTGGCCACGGGCGCCCCTCTCCCCCTGCGCCGGCGGCCTGCCGCCGGCCGCTCCCCGCCGCACCTCGGAGGGAGGAGAGGTGACGCGCCGCCAGCACCAGGGGGCCACCTCCAGCGAGGGGATCGCGATGCCTCCCCAGGAGCGGGAAATGATTGGGGGGCTGTCTCGAGCGAGAGGGGGGGGGGGGGGGCCCGGCCGCCGGGAGGAGCCTCCCTGGCGGGCGCCCCGCGCTGGTGGCGGTGGTGTGGCCCGCCTATGTTCCTGCACGCCTGTGCGCCTGTCTCCCTGCCCCGGCTCCACGCTCGTGCTCCCTGGGCCGCTCGCACGCCTCGCTCGTGGCGGGGCCCTCCACTCGGCCCCTCTGCGTGGCCCCCCCCTCGCTGGTCCGAGCGCCCGCCCCGCCCCGCCCTGCCGCCTCCGTCGGGGCCCCTCGCAGCTCCCGGGCAGCGTTGCGCAAGGGGGGGGTTCGACTCGGGGAGAGGGGGGGGGGGCATCGGCCCCCGGTCGCCCAGGGGGAATGGGGGCCCAAGGGGGGGGGCACTGCTCGGGGTTCGGGGCTCGAGGTCTTCGGACGCTTTCGTCGGTTCGCGGAGGTTTTCCTGATCGGGATGCGTTTCAGCAGCCGCGCCTCGCCGAGAGCGTTCTGGCGGGGCCCAGATCGTCTCGAACGGCCGCCAGAGAGGCGACTGAGGACCCGAAAACCAATGGGCAGTGTTAGGGGTGGATGAGCTCAGGGGGGGATGTATCGCCCCCCAGTCGTCCATTGATCGCCGATAGAGGCCTGATCTGATGGCCCACCCTGCCGAGGAACGTGCGGATCCTCTGTCAGGGGCCTGTTGCCGATCTATCGGCGATGTTTCGCCGTTGCCAGCTCGATGTTCCCCCCCCCTTGAGTCGGTCTGGGGCCCACATGACCGGGGCCAGCCAGCTCCCTCCGAGATCTTTTGGCTGATCCGGGCCTGGGAGCCGCCTGGAGTCGACCCCTTCCCCCTCCCCTCCCCCTCCGCCGACCCGGGCTTTCGTGGCGTGTTCGTGGCGTGGCCCCGGCTGGCTCAGATCTGCCTTGACCTGGGTCAGCGCATTCCCGATGTCGCACACCCTTCCTGTGTGAATGTGTGTGGGCGTGTGAATGTGTGTGCGAGAGCGAGCGTACGTGCGTGCGTGCGTGCGTGCGTGCGTGCTTGCGTGCGTGCGTGCGTGTGTGTGTGTGTTTGTGTGTGTGTGTCTGTGTGTGTGCTCTTCAGCCTGACTTGACCTACGCCGTGCCGGCGGG